AGTTCCATCTCCACCTGAGGAGGGCCTTCTCTGCTGTGAGGGCGGCAGAGCAGTGGCACAGGCTGCCCAGAGAGGTGGGGGAGTCTCCCCCTCTGGAGCCATCCCAAACCCGCCTGGACGCCGTCCTGTGCCACTGCTGGAGGTGCCCCTGCTCTGGCGGGGGGTGGGATGGGGGAGCTCCAGAGGGCCCTTCCAGCCCCCACCAGTCTGGGACTCTGGGATCTCCAGAGGTGCCTTCCGACCCTGACCATTCGGTGACTGCCCGGCAGGTTTAATTCATGGTAATATCCACTAAGTGCAGCAATCAACAGTTTTAATTACCTTCATCTTCCGCTTGTGGGCAAGTTCTCCACCTCAGGCTTTCCAGCGTGCAAGTTCACACCCCAAAAGCCCAAACCCCGCGGTGCCCGACGCCTCAGAGGACAAATCTGCCACCGCCACCTCGCTGCCTAACGGCCCTCTGCTCTGCCAATCCGCTCGCTCCCGGGGTCGTTACTGCAACCGCGACGGGCAACGGGGTCCTTTTCCTTCTTCAAAATCCCTCGTGCCGGGGACTGAGGAAGGGGAGACGGCGGGCCGCAGCCCACCCGCGGCGACGGCCATGCCGAAGGGACGCCACGGGCATCTCACAACCCGGCAGCAGCAAAGGGAGTCTTTCCCCTGGGATGTGAGCGCACGCATCCCGGGCTCGCAACCGGACTCTGCCTTCCCACACCCGGTTCTTTTCCCAGGAATTTGGGAAAGGACAGCAAAGCCGACCCCCTGGTTTTACCCCGTTTTTGCCGAGGGGTGACAGAGCAGCATCCCCTCTCCGAGGGGAGACCTCCTCGCTCCCTACAGCTATGGGAAAGGGCGCTGGAGGGAGGTCGGTGCTGGTCTCTTCTCACAGGCGATTAACGACAGAACGAGAGGGAACGGCTTCAAGCTCCAAAGGGGAGATTTTAGACTGACCGTTAGGAAAGAATTTTTCACGGAAAGAGCGGTCGGGCACTGGAATAGGCTGCCCGGGGAGGGGGTGGAGTCCCCATCCCTGGAGGTGTTGAAGAGCCGTTTCGATGCGGTGTTGGGGGATATGGTGTAGGGGAGAACTTTGTAGAG